GGACCTGAACCTGTTCAGCCTCCACAAGAGAAGGCTGAGGAGGGATCTAGTGGCCTGTTACAAACTAGTCAGAGGGGACCAGCAGGCATTGGGGGAGTCCCTGTTCCCCCGATCACTACCAGGAGTGACTAAAAATAATGGTCACAAGCTGGCAGAGGGTAGATTCAGGCTAGATATCAGGAGGCGCTGCTTCACGGTCAGGGCGGCTAGGATGTGGAACCATCTTCCAAGAGAAGTGGTGCTGGCTCCTACCCTGGGGGTCTTTAAGACAAGGCTTGACAATCACCTTGCTGGGGTCGTTTGACCCCAGTACTCTTTCCTGACAGGGTAGGGGGTCGGACTTGATGATCTGCTCAGGTTCCTTCCGACCCTACTAACTATGAAACTATGAAACATAAGGAGTCATAGATTGAATCAGAAATGGAATCATGGAGGCCAGACTCCAAGGTCTCTGATTCTGTCACTAGCTACTATGCTGCTTGCTATGACTTCCCTTTCTTTATAACTTCAGATTGGCCAAGTCTACACTGACCCTGATCCCACTGCTGGGGACCCACGAGGTCATCTTTGCATTTGTCACAGATGAGCATGCCAGAGGGATGCTGCGCTTTGTGAAGCTCTTTACTGAACTCTCCTTCGCCTCCTTTCAGGTAGCATCTGGGAAATGCATGTTGGAGACCAGTTCAAGGTTAACTACAGTTAATTAGTACTGAGCTCTCCTTATTCTACTCTGATCAATGTGAAACTAGGCAGAGGAACACAGTATCCAGAGGGGCTGGCAGGAGGACTATTATTAACTAGCAAAGTTATTGTTAGCTAGATCCCAGTGTGTCACCATGCTTTTCTTCAGTCCTCCCAGGCAGTGACCCAGCCTTTGTGTCCCCCATGGCCATTTCTGTTTTCTTTGAGACAGCCTAGAAAAGCATAATGGCATTACTGAGAGCTAAGTATGCACCTGCCCCAAGGGGTAATGTCTCTTTGGAAATCTACCCCATTGACAGCATATCAGTACAACAGTAACTGCAGGTGTGGAGGGAGTTACAGAGGATGGATAGAAAGGACATGGGTGATTCTTTAGTAATTGTTGCTGAGCTCTTTTCTCACCCAGGCCTGTTTTTCAAGACTTTGCCCCGTTGAGGGAGGTGAGCATTAAATTCTCATCTCCCAAGCCCCACAGCTACTATCCCTACAGAGATTGCATTTAAAATGTCTGTATGAACTGTTGATGTATGTAATATTTATAGCCTAAGGTCAGAAAAGAGGTAGGTCTTAAGGCCCACATATGGAAAAGCCTTCTGAAATTGATTGGCTTAGTTACAGGTTTTTCCTCAAGACTGTATATGGTTTTAGTCAGTGTTTAACCAAACTGCATTTGCTCCATTGAAGCTGTTTGAGGTAATGTATCATCCATTTTTTTTTTTCAGCAGAGGATTAAGCCTTCTACTTTTCTGATTTTATTTCTCTAACTATGGAGCATTCATTTTTCTTTGGCATGATTAAGTCCTGTCCCAGCCCAGGTTGGATTAGCAAAATTCAGGGCACTCCTTAAGGATTGCTTTTCTGACTGCTGTTCTTTTGTCTTGTTGATTTCAGGGGCTGATGGTTGCTATTCTCTACTGTTTCATCAATAACGAGGTAAGAGAGATGCTGGGAATTGGTTCAGTTTGCTGCAGCATCATCCAGTTGTGAAAAAGCCCACTGAAAATAGGCTTGAACTGTTAACAGGCCCCATAGTGGGACAAATTAAAGGGTCTCCTGTGGACTGCAGTCACCAACTAGTTGGGTAACTTCTCACTATGCAGGGATTCAGGCTGCATAGTGAAGGAGTGATGGTTGTGGGCAGGATGTCCTGTGAGTCTCTCTACACCTGACCTTGTGGATCTTACTGGAACTCTTGCCAAGCAATCATTGCATTGGATTATAGTTGTTTTCATTCATTTGCCTTAATGTGGGACTTCCTTTATTTTGCCAAATTTAGGACTAGAATTCCTTCGGTGTTACCTAAACAGTTATTTTTAAGGTGTGGTCAGCATTGAGATGGACAAGAAGAGACAAGAGTTCCACTCTTAAATTTAGTTTATTCAGAGATGACACAATGCATTAAAAAGCAATGAGTTAGTTGCCTTGCTAAGCATATGGCTTATCCTAAGGGTGTTAGGCTCTGAGGGACAGCATGTCGCCTCAGCAGTCTCAAAGGTGGCCAAACATGCTCCTCACACCCTAGCCTTTAGTCTATACTTACATAATCTAATACATAAGCATGTTTTATAGTAATTCTTTTACATCTATTAGCATAAACTGTACCTTAACTCAAGAGATGTTTTGTTACCTCTCTTTCTGTTTAACAAAAGGTTCTAGCCTTTAAAATAGTGAAGTTTCAATTTGACCTAGTCGGGCTTGAACAACTTGTTGATAAGCTCAGGTTTTGCTTTCTTGCAGTTGATACTCAGGAAATATGGTTGTTGTTCTCATGGCCCACCACAGAGGAGGGAGGTTGTTGTGTTACCTCCCTTTCTGATCCTACAGACCAGAACTTTAACCAGGACCTTGAGTTATGTGGTCACAAATGGCTTCTTGTGTGGCTTATATTGAAGGCCTGAATTATTACCAGGCAGAGGACTGTTATGCTTCTGTATTAAGGTAACCCCAGTGGTAATTTTTAAGCAACTGTTCTTGTCCCAGTGCATTCAGAAGTTGTTCTGTGGGTGAAGCAAATGCTGCTTAGTGAGGAGTGCATTATTAACTCTAATGCATGTTGCTGTATTAAATACTTCTGCTAAATCTGCTTCTAATTATATTATGGACAATTTTGATGATGACTATTCAGATGTGTCACCAAGGAAATGGCACAAAGACAGAAAAACAGTCTTTTGTTTGCTGGTTATGGTCAGGCTGGAATAAAACAGAAAATAAGCATGCTTTTTTAACCCAGCCCTTTAGGAGGCTGCTTGCTTCTGTAACTCACTGCTGAGATTTTGTTTCAGTCAATATATTTTCTGAAAATGTGTGAATTATAGTGTTCACAAAGGTCAGAGTTTGGCACCACCAAGGACAGTGGGAGAAAGATACTGAGCAAGCACCCTGACATATAACACTCTTTCCATCCCCAATACAGGCAAACCCCGCTTACCGCTCTTAATTGGTTCCTGAAAAAAATGAGTGTTAAGCAAAATGAGCGTTAAGTGAAACCAAAAGTATTTGACGACCCAAGATGGCGGTTGCAATTCTTTTTAATGACCCAAGATGGCAATTGCGAGCATTATAACAAAACTCGCTGAGCGCTAAGTGAAATCAGGTATCAATTTAAAATGAACTTTATAGCAAAATAGCGCTAAGTGAAGCAGTGTTAAGCAGGGGTTGCCTGTATGGCACAACTGATGTTCCTTAGCCTAGACTTGTAGCATCCCCTGGTGCTTCAGCCCTAGCTTTTCTTACGTAGAACCTACTAATTGTCTGACTGCCTATTTGCACATGGGCAGAGTGTGGCTGCTATGTGGAAAGGGCTCTGCTAGGAACTCTGAAGTCATTAAACTCATTTTATTTGTGGCTTAAATTTGAAGGCAGGTATTATATAAGTAAAAAGTTCTTGCTTAAACCCCACTGGGCCTTCAAATCTTGTGGCTGCCTATAAATTTATCATGGGGGCACAGAAGGGAATTGGTGAGGCTCTACTCACCAAGGCACCCCTGGGGGTCACCTTGGTGAGTAGGGGTCTTCAAGAGGAGGTTGGATGGGCATCTGGCTGGGGTCATCTGAACCCAGCACTCTTTCCTGCCTTGGCAGGGGGTCGGACTCGATGATCTATTGAGATCCCTTCTGACCCTAACATCTATGAATCTATCTCTTGCTAGTTAGTACAAGCTGCTGTCTTTGGAAAGTAATTCCCCAGCTCTAACCTAGAATATGCTGGGCTTGGTAGGAAATTTCCTTATTTCAGCATCTAGGTAAATAATAGAGAGCTCCTAAGTCATGACTAAAACCATTAACCTGTATCTATTGAATATGTGAGTTTGAAGGCCTGAATTTGGAACATGTCTGAACAGATCAAGTCCCTTCTACTCTAATTCTGCCCTAGACTTAGCAAGCCATGTTTGGTTTTTAGACTAGTTCCAGATAAACCAGCAGACTGCTGCTTCTAAAGCCTTATCTTTCCTTATTAATAACAGCATAGCATGGCCTTTAATGTACCTAGGTCCAGCTGACTCCCACCTCTTAACTATGCAGTTAGAAACAGAATTTGCTCCTTCTGCAGGGCAGATGAGCTTAATGCCAGGATGAGTGTGAGAATGAAGGTGGCAGAGACATTAATGTTTCTGCACAGAGCCTGCCTTTGGGAGACTGAAACACCTGAGCTCATAGTTCTTCTCAAGTCCTGGACCCATTCCAGTTCACACAAAGGTGTGCTGAGGCAAGCGTCAGTTCCTCATTAAAGTGGCTGTCACCTTCAATGTTTTCAGAAAACAGCTGAATTAATGTGATAAACCCCTCCTCCCCTTCCTTCCTCCCCCTGCATGCTGAGCAGCTCTTCACTGCAGAGCTTCCAGGCAGCAAGACTTTGCTAACTTCAGCTCCCAATCCCTTTAAATCCATTTATAACTTCTGTTTCCCACAGCCACTCACTCTCCTCTGGTTCTTTCCCCTCACAGAGTAAGATGCTTCACACTCAATTGATAGATGTTAGGGTTGGAAGGGACTTAATGGATCATTGAGTCCGACCCCCTGCCTGTGGCAGGAAAAAGTGCTGGGGTCATGTGATCCCAGCCAGGTGCTTGTCCAGTTTCTTCTTGAAGACCCCCAAGGTAGGAGAGAGCACCACCTCCCTTGGAAGCCCGTTCCAGATTCTGGTGACTCGAACCATGAAGTTCTTTCTGATGTCCAATGTAAATCTACTCTCTCAGCTTGTGGCCCTTGTTCCTGGTTATTCCAACGGGTGCCCTGGTAAACAGAGCATCTCCTAGTCCCTGCTGCCCTCCCCCTGGCGAATTTGTATACTGCCACAAGATCCCCCCTCAGCCTTCTCTTGCAGAGGCTGAAAAGGTCCAGGACCCTCAGCCTTTCCTCACAGGGCTTTCCCTGCAGGCCTCTAACCATAAGAGTGGCCCTCCTCTAGACTCTCTCAAGGTTGTCCACATCCCTCTTGAATTGCAGCACCCAGAATTGGATGCAGTACTCCCCTGCAGCCTGACCAGTGCTGCATAGAGGGGAAACATCACCTTCCTGCACCTGTTTGTGATGCACCTACTAATGTATGACAAATTGCAGTTAGCTCTGCTAATTACTTCATCACACTGATGACTCATATTCATCTTGGAGTTGACAAAGGCTCAGAGATCTCTTTCTACCTCTGTGCTGCTGAGAAAGTCATCCCCCAACTTATAGGTGTAGTGGTGATCACACGTGCTGGTGATGATGGGATAATTCCCATCATCCTTGACCGACCTGGTGCCTTCAATACATCCAGTCATGGGGTCCCTTAAATCTTGTCTTCCTTTCATCTCCATGGGTGAGTTCTCCCTGGGCGCATCTACACGAGAGGCTTAGTGCACAGAAGACTAATTTTACTGTGCATTAGCATGGCAGGCAAAGCCTTGCTAATGAGTAGGTTTAGTCTAATGCACATGAATGTCACTAAAAAAGCATTAATCTGTGCTGATATGCAGCAGCGCTGAATACGGCACGTTAATGAACATGTAGATGCGCCCCCTGACTTCTCCTCCTACCTGTCTTATTTTTCCTTTCAGAGGATCTTCCTCACTCCCTCCAGGTCTTTGTCAGCTTCTCCCGTGAAGCTCCATCCTCAGTCCCCTTTTTTCTCTTTCTCCACCTTACCTCTGGGCAATCTCATACATAAACAAAAATTTAACTACCATTCCTGTGCTGGCAACTCACTTTTTTTCTCTGCTCAGGACCTGTATCTTAAGATGTTGACTTGTGCCTCCAGGTGGCCTGTAATGTCAAGCTGTCTCTCATTGTACTTGCTCCCATGCTCTGCCCTAACTCCCCTCATCTCCTTACCCATGTTTGGGGGAAACTTTCCCAAGATATCTGCAAAGCTCATGTCATCCTTCAACATTATCCTTGAACTCCCCTTTTTATGACAACTCCATAATATTTGGCTGTTAGGCTGAAAACAGACATTGCCTTTGTGCCACTATAAAAATGTTTGTATCAGGACAAAGGCCAAGTAAGCTGACATCCTGCCCTTTGTGATGCAACAAATGCTCAAATCAGTGGCCTCAACAAAAGGGAGTATTAATTTGTGTCACTATTTTTGGGCAGACATCTGTTTGCCATATGGTGGGAGAGCTCTGAGCTGCCTGCACTCTGTCTGCTCCAGGCAGGCATTCCCAGGGTTTCAGGGGCTTAGTCCTGCATACCCTGGGAATTCCTCTGCAAAGTTCATGCAGGAATCACTCAGCAAAGGATTCCCTAGGCAAGTGTATTATACTACTGCACCCTGATTCAGGGCACACCTCTGCAAATTGTGGAACCCTGAGCTGGCACTCACAAGGCTTCAGGGGCCCCTGTTTGCAGAGGTGTGCCCCTGAAATCCCCTGGCAGGGGCTTCCTTGGGTGCACATATCACACTCACATCTCAAATCAGTTCCCTAACTCGTAGTTGATCCACAAGATCAGATGCCTGAGGCCCTGGGAGCAGGAGGGGCTCAACTGTACAAGACAACAGGTGATTTCTGTGTTACCCAGTGAAACAGATCAGCTGTGTCAGGACCCAGCCCAGGACAGCCAGTGCGGCAACAAAAATGACGACTAAATTTATCCTTAGCATGCTCTCTGTCATGCTGACCAGTGTCATCTTAGCATGTCTTTGTACTTCCTAGTCTGCCTGTGTCCATCTCTTCTCTTCTGTCTCTAATAAGATCTCTGGAGCTAGGAATAGTTTTCATTTTGTTTGTACAGTGTCTAACACAGAGAAGTCCCGATCCATGCTTAGGTCTCCTATGTGCTATAATACTGCAAGTAATGAGTAAATAACAGTAAATGCTTTGGGGATTTTCTGGTACAATAAAGTTGTCTGTCGGTGTTTATCTGCCCATCTACTCCAGTATCCTGTATAGGCCTAGATTCACTTCTGGAAATGTATAGTTGTGTGGCCTGTTTGTTCAGATCTGTCCAAGTGAGACCTACCTTTAGCTGTGTGGCATCCCAGTCACTTCCATAGCAGCAAGCTCTGCTGTTCTAATTACAGTTTGATTGTGGTTTCACTTTAGGTTTAAACACCAAGAGAGGCCACTGTAGCAGAGAAGCCCTCATTAAAATGTCAAGTGTCTTTAAGAAAGGCAAGGATTTCATAGGGTGATATCTTATTGGACCAACTGCATAGTTAAGATAGCATTAGACAAGCTGCCAAATGCAAAATGTTCTTCATCAGGTCTTTAAGGGAACACACACACATACGTAACCAACCATCAAGGCTCCTTTAATGAGAATCCTAGTTGGATATGTTGTAATTCTTCCAGGAAGATTGCTTAGAGCTGAATCCTCTTCACCTCTTCTCTCAGCTGCAGATGGCCCTGCCAGACTGCAACATGAGGGGGGTCAGGATTTTGGACATAGCATCGTGTGGATCCTGCCTTGTGTTCCATGGTGTTGTGCAGTACATACTCACTCTACCTATTTTCAGAAAGAGGTTAAAGCAAGGGAAGTAAATGTCGGCCTGTAGATGAATTAGTTTGAGTCAGTGAACCCATGCCATTATTTTCTGTGGAGGAGGAATTGTTAGCCAGTGATGTAGAGGTTATAAAAATCCTTGAGGTGGCCATGAAGTGGCTCTGGTCTACAGTCTGAGGAGGTCTTTGGTATACAGCCTAGCTTCTGGATATTGAATATTTGCTGTCAGTTTTTCAAAAGTGTCTGTCCTCCTTGCAGTTGTAGAAGCCACAAATCACCAGTGTGATTGTGATGCCAAAGAATCATTGGTATCTGAGTACCCTCAATGTTAGCTTTCTTTTTTCCAATTCACAAATAGTAGCCAGGAATGTGTCAGACTTCTGAACAATTGCAGGATTCATTTTTAGGAATTGCCTAATATGGCACAATTAACCAATTAATTGCACAATAACTGTAATGGTAGAGGGGGCCTAAGTAACAGCAGATGAGAGTTGAAGATAATCTAAGCCGATTGTACATATAAGAGGGAGGATGGGGGAAGACACTCTTAACATGGCTTATTAGAGAGATATCCCCATTATTGCCTCAGAGCTAAAATTAGCTGCCTATGGTTGATATCATTCCCACACCAAGAATAATGAGGACATTGCAGATAAGAATTGATATGCTATGGTACAAGTGCCCATCATAATGAACACATGGGGCCTCTTCTTCATTCTAGAAACTGGTCAAGAGAGCTTCCTCCCACCACTGTTGGATGCATAAGTGGAAATGGGTCTGGTTGGAAGCTGTTTGTAAAAAACATGCCTAGCAGCTGCCATACCCAAATAAGACCATTTTATTTGGTATCTTGTCTAACAGCAGCCAGCACTAGAAAAATCAAATGAAGATGCAAAACTCCCACAATAGACACCTGACTAATTTGCCTGTAGATTAAGTGTCTTTCTGACTTACATGTATATTATAATAAAATGACTAGTGGTGTTTTTGGCACCACTATGGTTTACTCGCTGCTCACTTTTATGTCCTAGGCCCCGTGCTTCTAAAAGTGAATGGAGATTCTTATTAGACAGGAGCAGGGGAATGTGAATTATTTCCTGGTCATGCAGTAAAGTTTCAGATATGAAATTTCAAGCAGCTGCAGAGAGAGATATTTGAATTCAACATCTGTGGATGACTGAGCGCATTTTATACATTGAAAGTGTCAGTCCTAATAAAAGGGAAGTACCAGAATTATGATGGCTCCACCAGTGATTTTATTTTGGGGTATAAAACGGTGTACATAATCCTTTCCATGCATCGTGGAAATGGAAACCAACCCTTTAAAGTTATTTTTGTGCATATAGTCTTTTCTGAGAAAGTTAACCAGTACTTCTGGACACCTCTTATTGCTGTTCCTGTATGTACACTAAACTTCCACATTGTATTATGCCATATTTTGGTTCCATGTTTCAGTTTAATAATGTAAAGGTTTCTGGCATCTGCCTGGTATTTGTATGTGAGGACTGTTTCTGAGGTTTTAGGAACAGGTTAGATAAACAACTATGTAGGATGGCCTAGATATGGATGATCCTACCTTGAGTAAGGCGTTGGACTCAGATGACCTCTTGATTTACTTTCCAGCCCTACTTTTTGTGATTTTATGTAATAGAAAAACTATGTATGGAAGTGCTAGGCAAAATGGTGTTATACAGATAATTTTCCATGCTTAACCACACTGCAAGAGACATAAGAATCCTTTTGGCTTTGTTGCTATGGTTTGAAAGGACTTTGCCAAGGTATTTTACCAAATCCTTAAGAATGATTTGTTTTTTCCTTTTACTCGCTGCTGCTTCCAGGACTACTAGAAGCTCCAAACTTAATTAGTTTCTCAATTGAGTCTGTTCTTTATTGATGCAAGTCCTGATTATGTTGCTTGCTGATGATATCATTCTGGCAAAGCAGTTACTGTTTGTTTGCCTCATTGGGACAAATACACTAAAAATTCACAGGGCCAAATTCTTCCAAGGAATTTTGCAGTGGAATCACGGGAAGGATATATATAGCCTTTGGTTTCTAAAATATTTTCAGTGACAATATGAAGTAGGAAAGTTGGTTACTTTGTCTGCGTTAGAAAAAGTTTGACAATGGATGTGAGTAACAGGTGCAGCTGAATTCACGTTGAAATCATCTAATCACAAGTATAGACAGAACCAACCCACCCTCAAGACTGCACCTGAATGCTGCTTGGAGCAAAGTATCATAGACAAGACTAGACTAGCTGGTGTCTGCTGTTTAGAATACATGGGTTTATTTATAGAGGTAAGAGAAAATGCTGCCATTATTTAACTTACGAAATAATCTTATGATGCACTAATAAAATAATTAGGGAGACTATTTGAAGCAATAATAAGGCAGCCATAAAACCTTGCCAGTATCCTTCAGTAATGCTATGCATTGTTTTTTCTGCCCAAATATTGGAATCATTTCAAGACCTGATTAATACTGTACTAATTGCGTTTGTTTCCTCCTTTGCTTATGAAAGGTTCAGATGGAGTTTCGGAAGAGCTGGGAGCGCTGGAGACTGGAACACTTTTATGTCCAGAGAGACAGCAGTATGAAACCACTGAAGTGCCCAGGCAACAGCATCAGTAGTGGAGGCACAGTGGGCAGCAGTGTCTATACTGCGACTTGCCAAGCCACATTCAGTTAAGATTACTACAGGCAAAAATGCAAATGAATCAGATCAGCCTGAAAGAAGTGTAAGACGCACCTGAAAACTCTTAAATGTCCAGGCAAGCAGCTTTTTTATGTCTTCTGGAGCCAGCAACTTAAGCAAGCATGTGTTGCTTATTGCTTCAGGCGGCTGGACAAAGGTTTCTAGGGAAAGCAATCTGCTAATGTAATCAACGCATCAGAGGAAAAATTGATCATGTCTAAAGTAAGTTTAAAGAGTTTCTTCCTATTAACACACAAGGCCTCCAGGTGTCCAAAACTTTAGTGCTCCATTGATCTGGTCACAAACCATAGGGTCAATGGCTTGTTACTGTAGGTGGGTGAGCTGAATGATCTGCTGATTCAATTACAAAAATACAGAACATGACTATTGACAAAAAAATATGTTTAGGTTTCTACTAGGAAAGGATGAGATGCTCATCATTTTTAGGAAGAAGTACTTGTAAAGCATGAACATATTTCTCTCTGGTACGATCACTTGATTTAAATAATATTCTTATAGCAAAAGCATCCAAAATTTATGGTTGGAGATTGTGCAGCTACTTAACGAGTAGAGGCATTGAAAGCCTAGTTTGCTATAACTGGGATGGGTAATGGGCTGCCTCTCTAGCACATTTCTGAATTTGAGTCACTTTAAGAATCATCATCTGTATAGAGTAGGGACCTATTCTGTTAATGTGTCCTTTCCATTAACACTGATGGGGTTAGAACTGCATGCATAACCCTTAGCTTTTACATAGCACTTAGCATCTTCAAATAGGTGTACAAATATTAACTTATGGATAGAAGTAATGAGTTGTGCCTCCACACAAGTGGCTGACAATGGATAACCTTTTTTGTGGAAGGTATGCTTTGCGTCCTGTGGGTATACACATGCATCCATCATCTTGTGGCCACTACACTTTACTAAACTTCATTTTGAAATCATGGGAGCCCCAGCAGTTTGTAGTGTATTTTCATTTTTCTTGTCTCTAATCTTGCTGGTTTTCTCTGCCAGGCAGAAACTAAGGTTTACTGAGTATATTCAGCACAGAGGACAGCTCCCTGACCTCTTTTTCTGCTTGTGTTACTCACTGTAATGCTGTGAACTTTAGAATCTCAGCACTTAAAATTCTGCAAGCCAAAATTAACTAGTAAAACTTTATGTAAATGCAAAAGCTTTTTTTCCTACAGTGGGTGAAGTCAGTTGAGAGGCCCCTTCAAGGTGCTAATTGTCCTTAATTCCTACTAAATTCCAGTGGTGTTGAAGATTTGAGAAAAACAGTAAGAGCTATATATGCAACAGGAACTCAAGACTGCGGGCCCAGTATTGCAACCCTATTTTTTAGGTACCCTGCCACATAGTTGAATTGACAAAAGCTAGGATGCTGTGTAGGGGTTCATAGTTGGGTGCCTAATTCCAAGTGAGTGCCCATGGCTACACTACTCTTCTTGCAAAAACATGGAAAGAGAGATGTCAGCACCACAACTTTACATAACTCACTTCAGATGTAGAAGACCTAGGTTCAAATTCTGCCTTGGCCAAAGTGCTCATGAACCTACTCATGCCCTAACCACTGGACTAGAAGATATTTTGGGTGGGGCTTTCTGTCTGTCCTGTTGAAGTTGTTTCACATGTTCTCCTGGGCCATAAAATATCCCATGTCAGAATGCTTTCAAGATGGGTGGATAGGGAAATCACTTGGGAAGTGAAAGACCCAAGTTCATGTTTTCTCATAGGGCAGGGGAGGGCATTCTATGTTGACTGTATATGGAGCTTGCACACCTAACTCGGTATCTCAAAGTTAGGTACTTCAATGCAGTACTTTAACTTTTCTCTGAATCTAGCCCTTGACCTCAATGTGATCTTGTGACCGTGAGTTCCAGGGGCTACTTATTCACTGTATGTAAAACAAAAAATAGACTTTCAGCTTAAATGTGTTGCTTTTCAATCTCATTGAATGTGCCTTTCATCCCTCATTGCAAGAAAAGTTAAGTTTAAATCTCTTCTAAACACCTCTGCCCTCTGCACACCTCTGCCCTCTCTTTTTTGTTTCCTTTCAAAACAAAAGCAGGTTCCAGGCTCTCTTTCAAAGGGAATTTTCCATGCCTTAGTTTTTACCAGTCAAATCTGAATTCTTGAAGGCTAGCAAAGACTGAGGAACTTCAGAGAAACTTAATAAAAGTACTAACTAAAGCTGCAACATGTGCTTTTAGTGCTTGGGTGAGCAAGAAAGGATTCCTGGAGTAGGGTCAAAGCTAGGTGAATAGACAGCATGATTGTAGACAGAATTCACAACTGACAAATGCAAGATGTGTGTTGGAAGCATTTTTACTTGTGCATATTACTGGGTTCTAAATTAATGGTAACTTCTGAAGCAAGTATTATGGTGGTGCTACACTGCTTGTTTTTTTGTTTGGGTTTTTTAAGTTTGGGATGATCAGGAAATGGGATTGAAAAATTGTAATGATGTTATGTCACTATTTAAGGTCATGGAGAGATGTTACATTTGCAGCCCTACAAGTGCCACTGCACTTGGAAGCACTACAAAAGTAGTACTACAGATGTGAAGACACACAAGGCACTCCTGCTGAGCTCCCAGCCTGGAGCACATGGATGAGAAGGCATGCAGTACCATGCTGTCCATTCAGGGAGTGTGATATAGGGATGCTCAGCCCTGTGACTTTTCTCAGGCTTCCCCACCCATTGTAGAGGAAAAACTCAGTGAATGTGCAGTAGTCTGGTCCCCCAATACTGCAGCTCTGCTTTCTAAGGGGGCATGACGGACCACAGGCTGTTGGTGGTCATGTGGCCGCCCCAGATCCAGTCTTGTAGCTCAGTGATTCTCAACCAGGGTACTTTGAGCTCCTTTAAATGTGCAAGCAAGGTGATACTCAATATTAGGATTCTTAGGTGTGCAAACATGATTCACAAGATTTCAAAGATTTCATAGACATTTGGGCTGGAAGGGACCTCGGAAGATCTTTGAGTCCAGCCCCCTGCCCCAGAGGCAGGAAGTCAGCAGGGGTCACAGGATCCCAGCAAGATAAATGTCCAAATGTCTCTTGAAGGCATTCAAAGTAGGTGCTTGAACCACCTCTGGCGGCAAGCTATTCCAGACCTTGGGGGCTTGGACAGTAAAGAAGTTCTTCCTTATGTCCAGCCTGAAACAGTCTTGGAGGAGTTTCTGACCGTTCAACCATGTCATCCCTTGGGGTGCTCTAGTGAATGCTCTGGTGAAGATAAATCCAGAGACTTCAGATAGGACTTCACAGTGACAAAACCATTCGACCTGTTGTGTTTTTTTGCGTCTTTTGCAACAGTTTTTTGCTGTGTTATTTTTCTGTAGTCAAAAATGAGTGAAAACTAAGAGCTGGCATTTTCCAAGAGGTGCATTGAGTCTAACAAGTTTTAGAACCACAGCTCGAGTGCTGCTGCCATTTTTGTAGTGCTTCAGGAGGCATGCGCATCTGTTCACCCAATTTTTGTAGTGCTACAAATACAACATCTGTCCGTAGCCCAACTCAGTAATATATCTGGGTTAGGAATAGCATGTTTATCTCTGGTCAGTCCCTTTCAAAGAAATGGCAGAGATCCAGAGACGGGTAAGGATCTACCTAACTCACAGAGTGTGAAAGAGATTTTGCGGCCTTTTCATGGTTAGCCCACCCCTTGCCACTGATTGCCTGAGAAGACTGTCCATTGTGTGGCCCCACCCTTGCTGCTGATTGGCAGAGAGGGGGCGGGACCCTGCAATAGGCAGCCCTCTCCCCATCAGAGGGTCAGGGGGGTGTTATCTTGGCTGTTCCCTTTAGTGCCAGGTCCATTAAAGGGGATCTCCAGCAAGGACCATAAATATCTGGCTTGATATACCCAGTACTTCCACAATAAAACACAAGCAAAAATTTTAAAATCTTTTTTTGGGGAAAAAAAATATATTGACACCCCACCAAAGTTTTCAAAGTTCTTGCTCCTTCTTCAGCTTCTCTTTAGAGGGAAAATGTATTAACCTCTAGTAGATTAACTTGTTTTGTGAGAACCTACTGGTGAAACAGTTACAATGGAAAAAATCCTCAAGCCAGTTGGTTAGCTGGTATATCAGAAAAATATTTATGCTAATTTAGTATGTCACTTGAAACCCATGTTTTTCAGACAAGTTGTAAATTGGTTTTCGCACCATGCTTGACCTGCATTTCCAAGAAAACCCTTTGGTACCATCTTCTTGCTGCCTATGCTTCAGAATCTGTAGTATCTTTTTAAACTGCACTTTTAACATAAATGCTCAAAATAGGTAAAGCAACCCTATGAACTGGAAAAGATGAGCCATGTGCATGTGTATTTCTTGTGCCTTGCAGCAACATGCTCACTCACTGTGGTTATGTTTTAAAGTTGGGGTGGGTGGGGGGAATAGGGTGGCCTGGGCTTTAACTCACCCCAAAATTATGTAGCTATGGTTTATAGGGAGCAAAAGCTTCATTTCCATCCTTGCTGCTAAAAAAAAAAGTTTTCATGAATGTTTAAAAGTTAACTTATGTTTTAATAGTGTTTCTTTACATGTATTTCATGTAAAAAAAATAAAATAAGGAACAAAATAAGTATTTAAATACTGTATAAACTGTCTGTACAGTAAGTAGATGTACATTTTTTTCCTTGTAACAAAAGTCACATTTGTCATATAAAATTGTCATTATTGCTGTTACGGGTCTAAATCTTTCTTTTGCCTGTCTTTACACAGCAGTTCATAGAATTTTTTTTGAAGAATTAAAAGACCCACTATTTATGGTTCTTTCAAAAGAAACAGAAAGTTCTTTACGTAGTGAACATAAAGCATCTCAGTGAAAGTCTATAGCCTCCAGTCATTTGGCTAAAAAGGCATATTCAGACTTCCTTGTCTTGTCTCTACTACACATCCCAACTGAGCAGATGTAAAAGTTAGGACCTTGACTGTGGGGGGTGGGGATCAAATTGTGTGATTTTCCCCACTCTGAGATATGTCAAGATGTTTCCATTGAGTTAATCGGAGAGAAAGGATAGTTGTTGTAGGGAAGCCAGCCATATAGAGAGCTCCTTAAATGATGCTTAGTACAGGTTTCCCTCACTTTATGCTGTACATGCGGATCCTGGAAAATGGCACATAACTCAAATTCACATAAAGGGTATCCATTTTACCATGTAACAAATAGGGATACATTCCAAGACCTCAAGTGTAGTATCCCCCAGACCCATTTCTACCACTTTTACAAGGCAATATTGATACTTGCCAACAGCAGACAGTACACACAGGGTGGTGGTTAATATTACCATAAAGGGGATGGCAACTACAGAAACACGTCACAGACGAGTGAGGAGCACAGATCCACACAGGACTGTATTTTGGTGTGTGTCACTCCCACAATGCACTGCACAAAGCAGCTGACTGTGGGCTTCCACAACACCAATTGCATGAGAGTGAATTTACCTTGCATATAATGAATTTTTGGTATAAAAAGGGTCATCGCATAACAGCAAATTTGCTCATACAGAAGGCACATAAAGCAAGGGAAACCTGTGTGGGGTATACTCTGGTGCCTAGCACTGGATAGTTTGCTCTGTCAATTGTCTGAGCAGTAGTAATGTTAAAATTCATCAGCAACACAAACTTAGCAAATTTTCTCTTCTTATTTCCACATCCCTCTGTTCAGAGTGAAGTAATGACTGAAACAAGTGTTCCAACCAGAGGTGCCACAGGGGCTGTATGTTGTGTCCCCCAGCTGAAACACTACTCTTTTGAAATGTTTCCAAGTCTATTACACTTGGAAACATTTCAAAAGTTACTTCTGTCTGTACCCAGAGATAAGCACTCTTGAAGCTACCATCTCCTCTAAGTATTTACTTTCCAATTCCTGCAGGTAACTCAGGTTTTAAAACATCATTGTACTAAAGATGTGATGTCACAGAAGAAATAAATACAATCAAAGGGTGCCTGCACATGAGCTGGGAGGCTGCTCCAATGTGCTATAATAGCAGTGCATTGGAGCAGACTCAATTAATCAAGTAATCAAGTAATTGCAATGTTCCAGCCAGCCTTCATGTCTCATGTATCAGTGTCCCCATGCTCCAAAGTGGTGGTGGGGGCACCTTATCTAAAGCTCTTCAAATGAGACGGTCTGAGCGCTTTAATCAGAGTGGAGTGGCTGTCAGAGCCACTCTAATTAAAGCACCCCATCTCCCCCCAAGCACATGTAAAAATGCCCAAATAGTATAAGAAAGACCACAATTTGATATTCTTCTCTACTGCTACGTTCCCACTGCTGTGTTACATACAACCTATTGAAAATCAACAAAGTTTAAAACTGGGGACAGGAGGAGACCAGCCGGATCTGCACCAGCCAGCAGAAGCGGTGGCGGCATTGTGTGCTGCTCAGGACAGGACAAGCCTGACCAGAGTGGCAGGGGCTTGGCTGCATTTTCCCCCTGCCTGCACTGGTCAGTCCCGAGCAGCACACGGCTCCACCTCTGCTGGCCGGTGCTGACCTGGCCGGGATCCTCCTGTCCCCAGCAGCACATGGAAATCTGGCTTCAGCTGCATGCAGGTCCCAGGAGGTGAGCTGGATGCCAGGGGCAAGGGGTGGAGCCAGAGGAGAAGTAGCAGGCACTGTCCCCAGCTCGTCCCATCAGGCACAGCTGGGGCAGCCCCACACGCAGCCCTCGGGGCAGTAGCACCCAGCTGATGTGATTAGTTTGGTCCCGTGGGGGTAAGCAGCTCCCCTCCCCTTAATGCCGGCTGGGGCCCGCGGGCCGGCCTGCCCACCTCACCTCACCACTGCCCTGCTGCCGCCGTGGAGTGTGAAGCAGGCACCAGGCCTCCTCACCTGTCCTGAGCGAGGGACCTCGGGCCAGAGAAAATGGCTTGGCGGGCTGCACGTTGGACAAGCCTGATATACACTGACTCTCTCAAGTTGAACTAGACACAGTTTCTTGAAAGATACAAACATAGATAACTGCCAGTAAGCAATATCAAATGCTCTATCTTGGTTTTCAAATATGTAAGTATTAAGAAGATATTGGTTCTTAAATAGGCAGCCTTGGGTAGAGGAGGAATCTGAAAATCTAATCATTATTTTCCATTTCCATCTCCTGAAGCATGACTTTACAAATGTCATATTCAAACCCAAAGTCACTCTTGCTTGCATGTGATTTGTCATAATAAAATCTTGAGAATCCAACCCAAAAAATAATGAAGGAGATGGAAAATCAAACCATAGATTGTAAAGATTATAAAGCTCTTCACCAGCTGAATACAGAATGGGCTGCTACTGCTGTCTGTATGCAGTGTTAAAAAAGGAGATGTATATTTGGATGGGAGGCAACTTGAAGCTTGGTATGCTGTGACTCTTTTACTAAAAGGTATACTCCTTAATCTACATTGTTCAAGCTCATCTGGAAGTTAACGATTTTCCAGTTACAGCAAGGTATTAGTTATGCTAACATTCCCCCATCCTCTCCCCAATGCAAACATAATGTACTCCACATACATGCAAATCAGGTAAATGCATACTTCACTTAAAAGTGCAGCACAGTGCCACTTCCAGTTTGTGGCCTACTGCATATCTGAATACCTGTTGTATCTTTAGCTAGATATTGCATATCTATCTGCATACCTGTTACATGCACAAACCACTTAAGTGCACAGCCTAGTCTGAAACCTAATTATACTTCAATTAGTTCCAAAGTAACAGTAACTGAGCATGTCTACACATACAATTAATATGAAGCAATAAACTCCAGAGTTTATTGTGCCTGAGACTGTAGCAGGTTGAGCCAGGTTGGAGCAGGCCTGGCTAGCAGGGTTTCCCAAGGGTCAGTCTGCCAGTCTGGGGCTACCCCCCCAGCTCACCATGCTGCAGAGGAGCTGGCTGGGGCATGAGGGTGCTTCAGTGTGGGGCTAGCTGCTAGGCAACCCCCCACCACGCTGAAGGA